GTATTTGACCCTGTTGTGCTCAAAATATCTGTCAATGATTTGGATGAGACCTATCAAATATTCAGATGTCATAAAACAGGAAATGTTACCTAATGTGTTGGATGGTGGGAAAAGATTGCAGGTTAGAACTACGAGTTACAATTAACAAGATGAAATTAGTAGAAAAGATTTGAACTTAGAAAGGCCTACTTGTTCATTCCTTCTTGTGGCATGAATTATCATTTCCAATATGCAGGCCTAATGGTAGGTGCTGGGAATGTAAAGATGTGGACTGCATGGACCTTGTCCTCTACAGGCCTATTTTCTAGTGTTTAGAAAAGAAGCACTAGTTAGGAAAAGAACAGAGCAAATGACATACATTTGCAATTCATGCGAAATAGGAGTTTTTACTTGATTGCAGATTCACTAGGTGCCAAGACATGGTATTATAATACTATTTGTGCCAGATTCAAATCAAGGAAGAAAGTACATTTGATGTATTTGCAAATCACAGCTAGAAGCTTATAATCTACTGTATTTTAGAAGTAATTTTTAGTAACTAGGATTGTTAAATATTTAGCTTGGAAAAAAAAGATTTAGGAAATAATAGTATTCTTAGATATTTGAGAACCCCCCTGGGAAAAGGGAATTAGACTTAATCTGCATAGCTTCAGAAGGCAGAACTTGGATTATTGACTGAAAATTAGAATGAAACAAATTTTCATTCAGCATAAGGAAAAACTTCATAGGTTATAGTTATGCAAGATGAAAAGGGCTGCCTTATAAGAATTTATGCGTTTAGCAATATCTCAAGGAAAGAATAAAAAGCATCCTTGTATGGGAAGGTTAGGCTAAGTAACTTCTCATCTTAGGTCTAAGATACTATAATATTAATGTTATATTCATTTGACTTAGCAGAAGGAATATATACCGCCAGCTTTCCAATGAGCAAAAAAAAAAAAAAAACCTTACGATTCTCATACATTCTAATCTATTATTGAAAAGATATTAGCACATATCAATCTTGATAATATAATTAAACTTCTCATTAGGCATCCAGAATATAGAAATTTTCCCTAAAGTCTAATTTCTATACAAGAGAAAATATTATGTACACTGTTTCAAAGCAGACAGGAAAGTCATATGAGCTATGTCAAAAAGTTTCAAAAATAGACTTGTGATTTATGTGTTGTGTTTGCAGACCTAACCAGGACATGTGCAATTCAATTAACCAATTTAATATGTCAGCAACTCTCTGAAATATTTGCTTGCTCTGTGAAAAAATTATATAAAGCTACAGGTATAAAAGAAAAAAACCATATTTTCATATCTCTATATTTTTAATAATGATCATTCTCTTTAAGTATTTTGATGCAGTTGTTAATGTTACATTTCGGTTACATAAAATAATTCTCTATGCAACGATTTTATTACAGAAGCAAAATGCTACAAATTATGTTGAGGATTCCATGTATTTTTGGCACATGTTCATTTCTATAACTATAAAATATGTTCTTAAAACACTCCCCAGTTAACAATTATTCATCAGCATGACACCTTGCTGAATGATTTGAGACTTGAATTCATAGATGATTATTTTATCTTGGAGCCATTATCTCTCACAATGCTACTGTTAAATATGGAATGGCTATTTTATTGCTAAAAAAATGATAGTTCTTTTGGATGGTTGAATAAGGGAGAATTATGATACTTAAATCAATATCAAAATATGACAAATCGTTTTCCCTTGCTAACCATTTTTCTGTAATTAGACTTGAAACTTGGCCTTCCTCATCTTAAAAAGCCTGACCGGTTTTATCTATACTGCCAAGAACATGCATTCATTCAGTCATTCATTCAGAACAGTCATTGAATGCCTACCATGTTTCATGCACTGTGTAGAGCTAAAAGGAGCATCTAAACCAGACTTAGGGAATTAGAGAAAGTGACATTTAAAATGAGAGCTGAAATGAATAAGTGCTAGCCAGATAAGAGAAAGAAAAAGACATTCTAGAACAAAGGGTTTGCACCCAGAAGTGAGAAAAAGCATCCTCATAATTTGAGAATTTTGAATGATCCCGTATGGCTACTGCATTACATGCAAAGGGAGCAGTGGCTAGAGGTACACCTGGTGGGGTAAGCAGGGGCCAATTGTGATGGTCTTCCTGGCCATGATACAGAGTTTGTAATTCATCCTGGCAGCAGTGAGGAACAAGTATAGGCTTTCAAGCAAGAGAGGGCATGGTATGATTTGCTGTGTTCCAAAGGATGAGTACTCTGATTGCAGTGTGGAGAAATCACTGGATGAGAAAATTTGGAAAGAGAATCTTTAGCTAAGAGGCTATTCTAATAATCCAGAAGAAAAGATGATAGTGGCCATACAAAAACAGTAGCAACAAGGAAGTCAAGAAACAATGAGTAGTAAAATCATGGAACCAGTGATCAAATAGATATCTGGGTTAAGAGAGGCCTCTAGGCTGCTCACCTGGGGAATTGAGTGGATGACAGTGACCCCAAATGAAGTGGGAAATACAAGAGAATTAGCACATATAGAGAGAGGCGAGCTTAATTTTTGACATTTCAAATTCAAAGTGCTTCTTTGTTGTACATGCAGATCTATCTGAGAAACCATTAGAAATGAAAAGTCTAGAATTCATTAGAGATATCCAGGCTGAATGTATAAAAATGTATAGAGTTTCTGGCACACAGATAGCTGAAATCATAGTAATGGATGAAATCACCAAGGTAAAATGTGTAGGAAAAAAAAGAGCTGAGAGTCAAAGTTAGAGTTAAGGACATCAATATTACTAAACAGAAAGGGAAGGAAGAGTTCACGAGTAAGAGTAAGAAAGAGTAGCCATGGAGGTAGGAGAAAAATCTATGGACTTACTATTAAAAAAACAACAGGAAGAGAAAATTTCAAAAGAAGAGGATACAGAAATATCTGCTGCAAAAAAAATTCACGTACCATGAGAACTGATTATTGTCAGTAAATTTCAATTTAGCAACAAAGATCTGGAATTGTGTCAATGGTGACATCAGAAGACTGTTTAAAGGATAAATGGGAGATGAAGAAGTAGAGACCAGGAATGTAGGCTTATCAAAAATAGGATAGAAGTTACCAAGCAACTTGAGACCCCACATATGTTTTTTAAGATAGGAAAGGCTTGACCAGCTTCAAATGTTGATGGCACTGAGCCAGCAAAAAAGGAAAGAACAAAGATGCTGGAGAAAATGGGCAGGTAGGAGGCAAGGAAACCAGTTTAGGAGGAGAGTAGCTTTAGACAAAGGACAGAAATAAATGTCAAAAGGATAGGAAATAATGCAGGCAAGATAGTGAATTGTTTGGTGGCAAGAAGCTGAGGGAGCAACCAAATGAGAGAGCTTGCTTTTCTCTGAAAATAAGGGGCTATCATCTAGTGAGAGTGAGGCAGAGAATTAGAAGATGTGAGGTTCATACCCTGTCATGTCAGAAAACTGGATCCATTTTACATTAAGTTATAAAATGCATCTATAAATGTCACAACATATTTTCAACTATAGCACCAGAAATTAAAAAACAATGTCATGGTTTCACTGCAGGCAATAACATAAACACCCAAAAAGAGTTAATAGAAGTTCTATAAAAAAGAAATTTTTGAAAAGATTAAATTGCATGGCAATCTATGTGGTGGAAGTGACTTCAGCTGCTGTTTGTCATGAACGACTACACATACCGTACCAAACATTGCATGAAACATAAATACATTCTTCTTGGTTGATTGAATAAAGCAGAGAGTCCAGCGTATGGGATGTCATCCAAATTCGATACAGAGCCTGCAGGCAGCTCTGTGGCTCCAGCTGAGTTGATCAGGAAAGCAGTTCACTAACGTGTCCATCTATTTTGTTACTGCCTTTTTGGTTTCTCAACTTTTCTTTTGATAAACTTGTTTATAAAATGTAAGTCACTGTTCTGACTACTCCAAAGCCTGTCATAAAATCAAGCTAAAACCCAACTCTCAATTGTCTCTATTTCTTCCTTTTTCTCAACTCCCAAAGTCAAGTGTCACATTTCCTGCAAACAAAATTCAGTTTTGTGTTCTTGCTGCCATGTTTGTTATTTGTCATGTTTCTTCTTTTTTATTTTTCCAAAGTTGAAGTAAGTCCTAGAAGGTAGGATATTATTTTACCTTTTTTCCTCACCTGATTCTCTCAGTGCCTGTTTCAGTGCCTCACATGTAGCTCTTCCTAAGTCCCTATTGCATAATTGATTATTCTGTTTTAAATATAATTCTACTTCATGAGAATTTTAATTTCAAAACTATTTACATGTTATTCAGAAATTGTTCTCATTTCCTTTTGTAAATGTCTTAAAACGTTATCACCCTGATGTCTCTTATTGTGCAAACTAAAAAAGAAAATATTGACCTGAAATTGCTAGTTTCACGTTGAGTCTTCTATATTTCTGAAAAACCACCAGCATGTGAAAAAAATAGATGAATAACATTCTTAAGGTGGTTAACTGGGCTGACCGTTTTTGCTCTTGTTGCCTCTTGAAACAATTATGCGCTCTGCCTTACTTTAGTTTCAGAAAGCCCAGTGATGGGCATATGCTGAGGTCCTGATATTTTTAGCATTTTTTCTGGCATCTCTTAGGCCTAAAACCTGGGATGTGAAGAAACATAAATGGCCAGAAGAAATAATAAATGTTAGAGTTCTTGAAATCTATACCCTAATTTAGAGTAACAAAAATTTACGCAGAGACTGATGTAGGCAAAAGAGAACAAAATTCTCATTGTCAGTATAGTGATAATAGCACAGTGTAAGTTTCTCAAATGAAAGAAATTTTTAAAAATATATTTATATCAAAAACTGAGCTCTCTGTCAATGATACAGTGTATGTGCATGTATGTATGTATGTGTGTGAAAATGACAGTATATGTGTTCATAGGCACACACACATTCATAGATGGGGAGCTATATGATAAATTACATTCCCTCACTAAATTACAAACAAACTTTTTCTCCTTCTACCTTTATAGAATTGTCAACATCACACTGCTGGGGACTTCTGTGAACGATGTGCTCTTGGATACTATGGAATTGTCAAGGGATTGCCAAATGACTGTCAGCAATGTGCTTGCCCTCTGATTTCTTCCAGCAACAAGTAAGATTGAGAAATATAACCATATTTCCTGATCAGTAATGCCATCTGTCTAGCACATGGGCTGTCTATGATTTGGCTATTTTTTCCATGTAGACAAAAACTTTAATTTAAGATAGACCTTTTTTAATAATATGAAAATATGACAAAAGGGAGTACATAATATTCTACGGTTTATTTTTCCTTTAAAAATCCTGTTCCAAGTAAATAATACTTATTGACTAAAATGTAAATACCAATATTAATATATGTTTATAAAATGAATGATATATGTTAAAATGTGCATGGTTTCTTAAATATACAGGTCTAGTGCTTGCATATAGTTTTGCCCGTAATATTAGCCATGAAGGATCGTTTGGGTGCATATTATATCACTTTTGTGGTTGTTTCCATTTATTTTATGTGTTTAATTCAAGATTGGGAAATAATTATCAATAAAACTGTTGAAAAATAGCACAATTAAAGCAGGATGACTTGTTATTATGTTCCAAAAAAGTCATATCTCCCAGAATCACAGTCCCCTTTCTCTTATGATAGTCTGAGCTTGGTACCATGGAAACACAGCCATAAGGAGAAACGAAAGCTGGAATATCTTATTTCAGTGCTGTCTGAACATTCTGCATTGGTTTATATATTGATGAAAACCTTAGATGTTTTCATCTACCTTTTTGCTAAGACTATCTACACTTTCTGTTAAGTGATTTATAGACTTCAATAAGGTAGTGTAGTTTTACTCTAAATTTCTTTTTGAAAAGAATGTGCATCAGTTTGTTCAGAATTAGAATTCTGGACACCTTACCTTAAGTATTAAAGAACTACAAAGCATTTCAGGCAAAGTGATCTTTCCACCTGTGCCTGCTGACTTTTCTTCATCTTTGTCTGAAAACTGAAATGAAAACATTTTCATGTAAATTGTCTCTTTTTCCTCTGTAAGTTCCTCTTTCTTGTTGGCTGGAATCATAAAGCTTTTATAGAGGGTCAAATGTAAATTTTTAGGTGAGTTGGATATTGATGAGGATAATGTACATGATCTTACTTTTCATCCAGGCACCAAATGGTAAGTGTATAAAAAATAATATTATTCTCATCTCCCTTTCCCTAATCTCCCCTAATGCCCAGATTTAAACAAGAGAATGTTATTTGTGTATTTGTCTATTAAAATATGAACAATAGGCCGGGCGTGGTGGCTCACGCCTGTAATCCTAGCACTCTGGGAGGCTGAGGTGGGTGGATCGCTCAAGGTCAGGAGTTCGAGACCAGCCTGAGCAAGAGCGAGACCCCATCTCTACTAAAAAATAGAAAGAAATGATCTGGACAACTAAAACTATATATATAGAAAAAATTAGCCTGGCATGGTGGCATGTGCCTGTAGTCCCAGCTACTCGGGAGGCTGAGGCAGAAGGATCTCTTGAGCCCAGGAGTTTGAGGTTGCTGTGAGCTAGGCTGACGCCACGACACTCTAGCCTGGGCAACAGAGTGAGACTCTGTCTCAAAAAAAAAAAAAAAAAAAGTGAACAATTTGTATAACAAATATTAAGTAATTAACTGATACTTTCTGGTGGGTACACTGTAATAAAAACTGTAGGGCATATATGAGAGAAATGTGCCCTTTCTTGGAGAAGCTGACTGTAAAACATATATGTCTTAAGGAATGTCAGCTTAAATGTAAGGAGAATTCAAAGGCACAAAATACCACACTTAATTTTGAAAGCTTCAAGAACATATTAAAAGAAGTAGTAGTATGTATGATAGATCATAAACAATAGATTGAAGGGTTTTTACTGGTGAAGATAGGAAATTATATGGGCGTGAAAACAGAAAACAGAGGGAATGTTTCAAAAATAGTAAGTAATAGAGTGGAGCATGGAGTTCAGATAGGATTTCATAATCGTAGATGGAAATGAATGGGAGAATGGAGGCCATGTTGTAGAAATCCTTAAATATCAGTCTAAGAAATAGCTATTCAATTTTCCATGTAATAAGGAAACACTACAACTTTTATTTTAAGAAAAAGGTTAATGTGATCAGAGCAACACTTTAGGAAGACTACTATAACAGAATTAAGTATAATAAATTGAAACAGGCAAAGGAGAAAAGCAAAGAGACCAATTAAAAGGCTAGTATACTAGCTTAGGCAAAAGATAATTAGAGCCTGAAGGCAGGTAATAGTAACAAGAATGGTGACAAGGGGATAAATGTGAGAAAATTGTCTAATACCACCCTACAGAAACTGATAATTAGATGTAAAGGGTAAGGACCACGCAGGCATTGAACACTGAGTTTTTTAGCTAGGTTGCCCTCCAAAATGGTGGTGCCATTAACTGAAATAGGGAAACCAGGAGAGAGCTGCTGCAGAAGAAAAACAATTTATGTTTCAAATAGATTCAAATTGATGTGAAGTATCTGTGTGAATGGAAATATGCAAATAGCTGCAGGAAATGGAAATCTGAAAATTGTAGGCGCAGATGAAGGAAGAGGTATGTTAATAAATAAATTACAGTGGGATAAGATTTCCCAGGCTAATGTTACCCATGGGAGTATATAGAAAGAAGGAAAGACAGGACTTCCTATGTTGGGAAAGCCAGAAGAAAAGGAAGCACCAAGACAGGAACAGTCGGGGAGATGTGGAATGCAGTCAGCAGTGTCACTGATACTAAGGTAGAGAAGAACAGCAATGAACAGCGTCACACACTCCTCTCACAAAGGAGATGGAGTCAATATGGTGCCAATTAACTGTGAGAGTCATTGATAAATTTTGACCATCCATAGTGGAAGCAGACAATAAGTTACAAGGGTTTGAATTTACAGTTTTAAGAAATTTCGAGAATAAGGAGAAAGACTGATTGGTTAGAAGGATCAATAAAAGAGTGCTTTTCTGTTTTTGTTTTGTTGTTGTTTTATATGATTTGTATAATTTGAGTATATTTTTATACTCAAAAAGACCGTGAAAGAATCAAAATATCAAATTAAAATGGCTAGTTTGGGGACTTTCAAACTTTATTGATTGAACCACCGTTAAGAAACACTTTTTTACATCGTAAGGCAGTACACAAAAACTTGTTGTGTAGATACCATACAATTTATCAATTTTATCACCTCACATTTTTAGAAAAAAATCTTTGTCAAAACACACTAAATTGATTTCATGACTCACTAATATCACCATTACTTGGAACATATTAGGCTACTTAACAAAACAAAGACCTATAGACGATGAAAACAGAAGAACTGAGGTGTGAAGCAAAGAAACCAGGCAGGGCAAAGAATAGAGACACTTCTTTCTGAGGTATAAAAATGAATTCTAAGGTGTAGATTGAGGAGGATGAAATATCTCATTTTCGTGACTTCAGTCTGTACAATCTGTGAGAAATAAAGATAAGGTGTGGTGAGTGATTGTCAACTCACTTCCACGGCACTAGTACAAGTCTTCACTGTCTCTTACTAAAATAAATATGGTAGACTTTTAACAGCTGTGATGGAGCAGCAGTGCTCACATACTCGCCAAAGTTTTCCACTGCCTACCCAAGGAAAGGTCAGACATCTTGGCTGGAAATCTGCAATCTGAATCCCTTTCTAGCCTCAGCGCCCTTTATTCCCTTCTGTAATACTTGACGCCCAGTTCTGAGTTTTCTTGGTCTTCTCCAAACATGCTCAGCAATTTTTGCTTTTGCTCTTGCCTGTGACAATCCCTGTGAAATCCAATCGGTTTTTAAAGCCCCATCCAGACCCCACCTCTGCCACGAAATCTATCCATAGCTCAGCATATATTTTGTACATTTTACATACAACTAACACATTTTACCTTATATTATTATTTCAATCAAATGTTCTTTCAGAAATTGAGTATCTACTAAGCATGTAATTTATTCCAACACTGTAAATAAAAGATGAAAGATATGTATCCTGTCCTTTATTTGTACATATCGCTCTCTTATGCAGAATTGTAAATTCCTCGAAGATAAAGATAGTATTTTATTTATTCCTTTATTCAACAAATATTTAATGAGGGCCCAACTCTGCTAGACATGCTTCATCATTCTGGGAATATATAAGTGAAAAAAACAGTCCAAGTTTCTACCTCTGCAGTTTATATTTTTTTCCTAAGAGAGTAAAACAATAAACAAATAGATATATAATGTAATATCAGGTAGTGACAAGTGCTACTAGGAAAAATAAAGTAGTATCCATGAATTTAGAGTGACTGGGGTACCATTTTAGATAGGGTGGTCAGTGATCTCCACAAACGTGAGACTTGTGCAGAGATGTGCCTGAAGTGAGTCATGTGACTGTCTGCAGACAGAGCAGTCCAGCGAGAGAGAAAAGCAAGTGCACTGCTCAGAGACAGGCCCACACTTGGCCCACACTTGGCAGACAGCAAAAGGCCAGGGTGGCTGGAACAGAGTGGATGGGGGGAGGGTGGTAAGAGATGAAGCCAGTAGAGCTCCAGTGGGAACTAAATGACCTGAAGGCTTAAAATTTTCCAATGACAAGAGGTGGCTTGGTAAAGGATAATCCAATGATGTTATTGATGGTAGCACCAGCAGCATATGAGGATAGAGTACATATGGAATGTGAGACAGAGGGATACAAAGTTGACTTCATGGTTTTTGGCTGAGCAAATTGAAGCACGGAGTGGCCATTGACTGAGATGGGGAAAATTATAGAAAGGTCAAGTGTATTTTTGTAGGGCAGAAGCTTAGTTTTAGATCTGTTAGGGTAGACACAATATTCAAATCCCTTCAGACTGAATGAGATCATTTAGAGGAGAGAGGAGAGGAGAGGAGAGGACAAATCTGAAAACAGAACTGTGGAGCACATCAAGAGATCAAGGACATTACACAGATCCGGCAAAGGAAACTGAAAAGGAACAACTAATGAAATGAGATAAAAACCAGAAGGAAGTGGTTTCCAGGGAGCCAGTTCATCTCTGGAGCATCCACAGGAGACAACACAGAGAGCAGACTGTTAAACGTCTATTGAGGGGAGTTTGGAATTATCAGCTGAAGGGAAATGTAAAGGTGGTCACCAAGAGAATAGCACAAGGATTTCTCAGTGGTCATGCAGACAAAAGAAGAATTGAGAGCAGATGAGAGAGCAGAAAAAATGACCTTGAACTTCAAACAAGATGGAACTCCTACTTCCTCCTTCAGAAGTTCTTTTATGTGATATATGGAAAAAGTACAATCCACCATAATATCATAATTCAAAAAAGTTTATATCAACTATTTAAAGAGAATTACTACATCCCTATACAGTACTTTGAGACATTTTATTTATTGAGTACTTTATTGACTATTCATTATTTTACTGTAAAGGAGTATAATCTGATCATGTTGGCTCTCTAGAGTCGCACTTGAAACGTCTAAAATCTGTTTACTAGGGCCCAGATATGTTTAAGAGTTTGTGTGTGTGTGTCTGTGTGTATACATGCAGGCAGATGCACTCAGCGTCAAGCTTTAAATTAAAGAGCTAAAAACTTGGCAGAGTGTGTCAATTATGAGTTTATGGGTCTATTTTTTTGTGAAAGCAAAAAACAAATTTGTTGGATAATGAGTTTGTGAGTAGTAGATCAATTTGTTCACATAATTTGCAAAAGCTAGAGTTTATTACTCATTCATGTACTATTGATTTAATGCATTGGAAGACAGTTAAAATAGGTTCCTAATGGTACTTGACCAAAAGGAGTTGTGGCCCTGGCCTATATAACTTATTGCTTTTTCAGCAGCAACTGATTTAGCAGACCTGCAAAAAGAAAAATGGTGTTTGCAGCATTACCATTCTGCAACAAATATGTTTTCTCTTCATAAGTTTCCCATGCATCATGCAGTTTTATCCAGTCGGAATGCAGCACTTCTTACATTTGAGAGAAGTTTGTAACAACCCCAAACTACATGCTATTATAATATGGTTTAGTTTTCAAGTCTTGTCAAGTCTTTCTTTTGTAGAGAAAGCTAATCAGAAATCCTAGAGCAAGACAGACCGGCTGTGGCCTACCAGCATTGTAGAGAAAACACAGGGCAAGTTATGTAAGTCTTAATTATTAGAAAAGACCGTAAAATAGCCAGGAAATCTTATTCATTTTCATAAGGAAAGCTTTCTCCTCTTCACACTAAATCTTGTTACTTAGGGTTTAAGGTAAAATGTAGTTTGAAATCTGGATGTAAATTAGAAAAGGCACTCTTTTATTCTAAATGAAACGTTTATTCACACTTCATGTATTGAAGTGCCAGTGGCCATTTGGACTTAGTTTTCAGGAAGAAAAAAAAAAAAAAAATATATATATATATGTATATATATATATATGTTTTATGTCCTTTTTTTTAAACCTGAAAAATATTCAGTAATACTTACTCTACTATCAGACAAATGTGTGTAAATTCTAGGCATATTTTTCTTTTGATTAGTGAACATAGGACATCTTTTGCTAGATGTTTAATTATTTTCATGGCTGTCATGTTATTATTAAAATTCCAAAATATTAACATGTTCAGTGTGATGCATTGTTAATTCATCAAAAGCCAACCAATATTTATTTGTTGACTATTATTAGTAGTTTTTGATTGTGATATACTACCCTTAAGAAAGAATTTCATCAATAATTATGAATATGGCACTTATCACCACCTAAAAATATGTCCCAATCACCTTGAAAATAGATAGGAGTACTTAATTTTACAAAATAAATGAGTTAAAACATTTTTGTAATCCTTTTCTTTTCTGATTTCAGTTTCAGCCCTTCTTGTGTCACGGAAGGCCTGGATGATTACCGCTGCACAGCCTGTCCCCGGGGATATGAAGGCCAGTACTGTGAAAGGTACCGATAGTCACAACACGTAGTACAGAGTAACAGTACATGGAGAGTATATGGTAAAGGGTCGCAATAGAAAAATACTCATTATTTGAATAATTTCATTATTTTCATATTCTCTAGTAGTGTATTTTTTTTTATTTCAGGATATTATGGGAGTACAAACATTCTGGTTACATGTTATGACTTTGCCACATCTCTAGTAGTTTAAATTACATACTTTAAAACTTTTTCCATCTTAAAGTTTATCCAAAGAAAGTTGTTTACTTCTATCTTGTGTTTAGACTTTCTTAAAGATTTCAAATTATTTCACATTATCTATGTTTTAGTATACATATATAAGTTCACATATAAATATGTATAATTTTATAATAACAAAAAAATCAATTTCCAAAAGCTTATCAGTAATTACTGATTATAAAAAGCTGGCCACGTATTTCTCATTTTAATTCGCGGGAAAATATTGTCTAGCAGTAACCACTTGCATGTCATTGTTATGGCACTCTATGGCACTATACCCGCAAGTGTATACATAACTCAGAATATAAATGGTGACAGGCATTTTTAATTAATACAACCCAAATAATAAAGTATTTGTTACTCAGTTCTCCTTTTCAACAGGCAAATGATATTATTTAAATGTTCCCTCTTATCATATTTCTTACAAAATCTCATAATGCATGTATGTGGCTATTAAATTGAATTCTAAATATAGTACAAATGGTGAATTAAGGAATATAATTCCAGACTGACTGTCTAGTAAGGTTGTAATTAATATCTCCCAGATATATATTTTCTGTAAGATCAGTATCCTGGATATTCAAACTTGTCACCGTCACTTTTAGTACATTTTAGGTATTATCTCTAACATAACGAAGAGTAAGTCTTTTTAACTATTAACAGTATACACACATGATAATCTTAGCATAATTGATAGCATTATAAAAGTTTTATAAAGATCTGTGAACTTAGCTTAATTCCAACAACTAAGCTGGGTCCCATTTTTCTCATTTATAGTCTCAGAAATAACTGTTGGGCAACCTACTTTACACTAATATTGTGACAATGAGTGTGTAAAGGACACTCTTAGTCCCCTGCCAAGGCACCTGTGCAGAAGTCTTCTCTCCAACAAGAGGGGCAAAAAGCCCTGAGAATTTACCCCACCTTTCTTCAGTGGTCCATAGCCAATGACTACTTGGTGTGAGAGTACAAAAGTCTAGCTCTTTTGCATCAAAGTAGAACAAATTTTGACATGTTATGTATGCTCCAGAGATCTCCATGGAATTAGGCTAAGACTGGGACCTCTTAGATTGTTTCTTTTCCATAATCTGCTTCACCCATTCCTTTGCTAGATTAGTCTACGAACACTTCCTTAAATTGTAAATGTCTTTGCAAATATAAACTAATATTAATTAATATCTATCATCACCCACTTAAGAATCTTCTTTTATATAACCATCAATAGCTGTATTTATAATGACAATAAGTAACTAAATAATTATACTTAAGTTATATAAATTCCAATGCAGTTCCTATACACTTGTAAAATATATTTCCAAATAAATCTGTATGTGGTAACTCTAAACACAATATCCAATACTTGCATATATATAACCATGCATTCAAAATTTCCATGCCAACAGAAATTAGCAGCAATTAAATAATTCAAAGCAATACAAAATCCAAATGTTTCCATTTATTTTGAGGATATATACATCATTTGGATATAGATACAGGTATAGTTATAGATGATATATTAATATGTATATATTTTTTAATGTCCACCAGTGTGCTTTGGTATTTATGCTTAGACTAATATTCATTTCTTGCCCTTTAAACACCAGTAGGATGGTGACTAAAAGCATCGCTGGACACCAAGGGGATTATCTACAGTAATTTATGGAAAAAATGTTTTACAGTATAGCTACATTTATAAGTTGGAGTTACCACTATCTACAAAATCATGTGTATAGAAAAGACTGGAAGGGTACACTGAAGTGACAATTATTGTCTTAAAGCAGAGCGATTACAGAAAATTTATTTGTTAATATCCATTTATGTTTATCAATAAGAGCTGACAGTTCATATAGCATATAGATGAGCATGGTCCTACACTATCAAATGTGAATGGCTTGAATTGTTTTTCCAGTTCTCAGATGTTGTTAAACCTTTACATTCATCATCTTTAACATATAAATGATCAGGTTATACTTCCCTGAAAAATTGCTTTTATTCAGCTAAATTAAACCAAAGTTCTTGGTTAAATTTTTATTGTAACTTTCCAAATAAATTTGTTCCACTGCCGAGAGCTTCTTAAATCATTTAAATCATCTTTAGACCTGCCCAAACTCATCAGCTCAGGGCTAAAACTGCTTAAATTTCCTGAGTGTCCCTGTAATGTAGAAACCTCTCCCCATACTTTGTTTTCATTATGTTTGTAATAAACTCTTTGAGCATTTAATCAATCTGACCCTGCTTAGAATACAGTTATTCACCTGTGAATGTTAAAAAGCAATTTAAGTGGACTTATTTAAATGATAGTTTTATTGAGCATTTGTGGTCTTACATTGAAAAGAAAATAATCAAAAACATGAAAGTGTAAAAGCCTAATGTTACAAATAGTTTTCTTCCTGCTTGCCTTTTCCAACCAGCACAGGATGAATTAGATTTCACGATCAGCCATGCAAATTTTCACGATCTTAGGCTGCTGAAGATGGTCTATCATTATCTTGCCAGTATTTATAACTTTTGTTCCCAACCCTGTCTCTCAACTTTCTCCCATACTTGCCCTCTAAACAAAAATTCTAACTGTTGATTATATTTACACTGACCATATATATATAATTTGTTGTCCAATCTGACACTCTAACGAGGGACAGGAAGTGTTTTTAATAATTAAGCCAAAACAACAGGTAATCTGGGATTGTCCTGAGCAAACCCGAATATCTGGCCCTAATAGCATCTTATAAAGTTGCCAAACTTCAAGTATCATAACGGGTAGTGAAATATACTTAGGTGAATGGATGCATGGATAGGTGGAAGAGTCAGTGAACAGATTGCATTTGGGGTTCATCCAGTTGGACTTCCTTTCTAATTTTTCAAATCACTGTTATATATTTTATTTGCATATCATAAACCCACTTCCACAGACACATATGAAAACTCCATCTTGAAGAAGATGTGGTAAAAAGGACAGATGGATAGGATTAAATAGAAAGTCTCAATAGTTTATCACCACTTAACTTGCCTCTTCTTCTTCATTAGTAAAATCATTAGGTTGTATTATTTTGATTTCTAAAATGCATGAGTAAAGGAAAGCCTAGGAATCAATTATAAATTGTATTAATCTCTAATTATAAAAAAAGACTTAAAAAGTTTATGATGTAGAGCAGTGATGGGCAAACTACAGCCCTCAGGCCAAATTTGGCCCCTTGCCAGATTCTGTATGGCACTAAAGCTAAGAACTGTTGTTACAGGTGAACGCATTTGTGATAAATCTGATGATAGGATGCACTACATTTGAACCCCAACTAAGTAAATCTAATATTTTAATACTTCAAAATGAATCCCATTCTTCTCATTAGTATATTGGTATTACAAAATAATTTCTTCTCAATTATATTATGTTATTATTGTTATTGTTATTAGGTATTGAATTTCATCAGCAACAACAAAAAAAACCTTGAAATTTTATTTCTCTCTCACTGCATAATCTTGATTTTGCCTCTTGGCCTGCAAAGCCTAATATTTACTATTTGACCTTTTACAGGAAAAGTTTGCTGACTCCTGACCTACAGACCATTGATATCAGTTTTGTTTCATTCAAAACAAAACATACACACACACACACACCCCACACACAGAACAACTTGGAGACATGACTTGCTATTGACCACCTTTGCTTTGTCACTGTTTAAATTCAGGTGTGCCCCTGGCTATACCGGCAGTCCAAGCAGCCGCGGAGGCTCCTGCCAGGAATGTGAGTGTGACCCCTATGGCTCACTGCCTGTGCCCTGTGACCCTGTCACAGGACTCTGCACGTGCCGACCCGGAGCCACGGGAAGGAAGTGTGACGGCTGCGAGCGTGGGCATGCACGCGAGGGCAGAGAGTGTGTTTGTACGTATACTAACTTAGCTGTTAGTCTGGGGGGCTTTGGTTCCATTTCTGTCTCAATCCAATGAGAAGGACTGACCTTTTTTTGGCAATAGCTAGTTCTACTTTTCACTCTTTCTGACATGATCTATCCACCTTGTGCTGTTCGCCTGCCGTTTTTGTCTCCATCCTGCTGAGCCAAGAACAGCTGAGAAAATCCTCAGCATGCTTTAGTCAGTGCATTGAAGACCTACAACAAAGCTCCTGAAGGCATATCTTATTCCATTTATTTTATTTGTCCATCTCAGGGTTTCCAGTTTTGCCTCAAATTGGCATTGCCTTTGTGACAGATTGAAGATTCTAGTATATTAAAATTTTTAGAATATTCCTGAATTTGTAATCAGCTGGACAGACACTTTAAGCCTTGAATTACAACTGAGTTTTTTGTTTTTGTTTTTGTTTTTTTTTAAATGAGAAGGGGTCCTGCTCTCAACTCCTCAGCTCAAGCAACACCTCCTGCCTCGGCCTCCCAGAGTGCTAGGATTACAGACATGAACCACCGCGCCTGGCCAACAACTGAGTTTTCTTTTCCCTACTTTTACAGAAATTCATGGGCATACTGCTTCATAAGTTTCTCCTGAACTACAAAACCTGGAAGCAATAGCAATGAACTCAAGTATTTTTACTCATGTACAATAAATGGAGAGCAGTTTGCACACACGCACTCTCTCTCTCTCTCTTTCTCCCTTTTTGTTTCTGTACTGATTCTGGATTCAGCAATGCCACATTGAAAGTACATTGAAATTAGGAGTTAAATATAATTCTTGGATCTTACATAAATTCTAATCTAAAATAGGCTATTTATACATTTAAGGAAGGAGTATTGTACTACAGTATTCTTTTCCTTAAGGAAATTTATTTCAGCACCTTTTATTTCAACATTACCTATTTTAGTGTATTTATGCATGCCAACATTTCTTGTTTTAACATCTTGTGTGTAAATCTTAATAGCATTTTAACTAGAAGAGTTTTTGTGTTCTGGTTTTATAAGAGTTACCTCCGAAGCTAAAGCTGAATTTTAAAATATGCCATAAAGTTAAGACTGTATGTGTTTGGTTAGATAGGTTTTTAAATATTTTTTCT